AAAATGTAAGAGTAGATTTCCGACAAATATGCAGTGTGAATGTGCTATTTTATTGAACTTGTTGGACTGTGTCAGAGAAGCCAGTGAGGAGCTTTCTTCCTCATACAATATAATCATTTTCTCCCTCATTCCCTAAGTACTGAAGAGACTGTTTGATAATTATATTTTTGAACAATGAATTCAATTTAATGAACAAAATGCTGAATTAAGGAATTTAATTGTTAAGATAATCTATTCTTCAAATTCCTAAATAAAGCAGAACCATGGACGCGGCTTCTGTTTTAGTCTGAATTAGTGTACAAATGTCTTGCCCTCTCATTAAGGGTTGCTATTCAGTAAAGACAACAAAAAGCCTGCCAACTGGAGTGATAAGAACGATGCATAACATGGCCAGAGGCCCTATCGCACCTCCTCTAGCTTCCCTATTGCCATGCGACAGAGGGCACTGCCTCATCCTCCATCCTTTTTTACGTACTCTGACACTTACTCTTCCTCCACCAGCGGGCTCCTTCTCTGCTGGATTCGATAATTCATTGCAATGGTCAGACAGGGCTCACAGACAATACTCATGATTGTACAGCCTCACAATTGTCATTGTGTTGGAGCCCATTTTTGCAGCCACTGGGTCAATCCATTTCATCAATGGTCTTCCTCTTTTTCACTACCCTTCTACTTTACCAAGCCTTTTATAGAAACTGGCCTCTCATGACAACATGTCTTACGTACATGAGATAAAGTCTTTCCATCCTAGTCTGTAAGGAGCATTTTGGCTGTACTTCTTCCAAGATAGATTTGTTTGTTCTTTTGGCAATTCCTAGCACTTTTAATATTCTTCACCAACACCATAATTTAAATGCATCAATTCTTCTTGGTCATCCTTCTTCAATATCTAAATGTCATGTGCATATGATGGGATTGAAAATACCATAGCTTGAGTCAGGTGCAGCATAATCCTTATGGGAGGGGTCTTTTTAAGGGACGGTAATAGGCTACCAAAAGCCAGAACCAGAAAACATTAAGGATACACTACCGGTCCACAGAAACACCTCTCCTCAGCCAGAAGCCAAATCTCTCTCTAGTCCTCAGCTCCTCAGCCACACGGTGTCTTGACCTCTGCCTCCCTGGGTCAGAAAGCCCATGCCGGGCTCTGCCTCACGTTCTAATAGTCTCAGTGCTTGTCCTCAGCTTTCTCATTGCCTCCTGACTTGATCTCCATTCTCAGCCTAGCTTGAGTCCCATTGTCTCGGTGCCACAGTCTCTGGTGCCTCAATCTGGGCCTCAGCTACTTCTGGCAGAGATCTTGATTGCATCCCACGTCTTCTGATGGTCCTTGGATTTCTCTCTCTCTTTCTGCTTCCAAATTGGCTCTGTACACAGAAGGATGGTTTGGATAGGGAGGGTTTTTCTGCCTTTCAACAGACTATGTCCTCAAGAAAACATAATGGTGGTTTGGTTCAAAATCTCTAGTAAGGTGCAGACTTCAAATATATCCCACATGAATCCTGTCCATTAGCACCAGGGAAAGCCTCCTCTAAAATGGGATTATAGTCATAGTCATAAAGGCTAAATTTTATAATACATCACATGAGGTATTATGGTTTGAAGGACCATATTAAGTAGTTGACCATCACACAACTGCAAGATAAATAAAGAAAATATTGGAGTTGGAGATTTCATTTTATTTGCATCCACAATCAATGTTCATGGAAGCACCAGTCAAGAAATCAAACAATATATTGCACTGTGCACAATATCTTTTTTAAATGGTAAAGAATAAAGCCTTTACTTCGAAGATTAAGGTGAGCCAGTCTCAAGTCATGATATCTTTGATCACTTTATAATGCACATGAAACCTGGACAAGGAAAATCAGGGACTACTTGATGCATTATATTTATGGTGTTTGTGAATAATATTGAATGTGTAATGAACTGCCAGAAGAATAAACAAATTTATCTTGGAAGAACTACAGCTGGAATGAAGATTATAAGCCAGGATGTTGAAATTTCATCCCACATGCTTTGGACAAGTTATCAAACATACTACCATTGCATCAATTACAATTCCTAGTGATCATACAGAGCATTTCCAAGCATATAAATCTTTGTGGGAACAACTTGTCTCATAATTCCGCCTCCCAACAGCTGAGCCTGCTGTTAACTAGGTAGTGCTTGCTTGGCAGCACCAGGAACTCAGTTCTGGAAAGGACACGCTGCTGGCTAATGCATAGGGTCAGCAGAGAGGAGGAAGACTTAAAAATAAATGGATTGACACAGTATCTACCACGAGTTCAAATAATAAAAAAGTGTCAGCTGGTACAGACTGCACAATCATTTGTGTTGTTGTACTTGGGAGCACTGTGAGTCACAAATGACTGACAGCATCAAAAACAACCACTTAGAATTTACATAGTACTTAATAGACTTCAAAAAGTTTGTGGAAACGTTATATTATATTTTAACTTCATTTTCCCATTAAATTTTTAATATTTCCTCCTCTTCTTCCTGAACACACACTCACACACACACACACTCTCTCTCTCTCACACACACACACACACACACACACACACACACACGCACACACACACACACACATGTGCACACGTAAAAGAATTGCTGCAAAATCATGGACATGCTTATTAAACAAAGATATCATAAAATGAAGCTTTATTTCTCTATACATTTTCCATCTACCACAGATACCCAGACTTATTTGGCTCACTGCTTTCTTCTCAGAAAAACAAACAAAAAACAAAAAACAAAATTACCTCCCCTCCTCCACACCCCCCAGGTGGGGGTAGTATTGCTCACAGTGGGTTGCACACTGGGCTGCTAACCACAAGGCCAGCAGTTCTAAAGCACTAGCAGACCTGAAGGCGAGAGATGAAGCTGTGTGCGCATAGAGTTACAGCCTCAGAGACCCAGCTGAGCAGTTCCCCCTCTTCTCCAGGACCACGAATCAGAACTGACGGGACAGCAATGCGACTTCCACCCTTCTGAAGGCAGCATTTCCATCTCCTGCACCCTTTCCTGGGGAAGCTGCATTACTTGAGCAGGGTGATGTGAAATGGAACTTTCCTGTTGCTGTCATTGTTAAGTGTCCTTGAATTGGTTCTGACTTCTAGCGACTTCTGTCCAAGAGAACAAAACTGCTCTGTTCTGCACCCTTGGGAGACTCAAAGTATGTTTCTTTTTATTGTCCTTTGAAGTTTCCGAACAAAAATATATCTAAAGGGACTGTATGGTGGACTGAGTAAGGTTTTCCAATGACATTTTTGAAGGACACCCCTGCTACTGACAACAAACAGCAGGTGCATTATCTGCTGCGATGGAAAAATACACCATGACACAACTTTCCTGGCCTTTTCTCAGCAATGCAGGTTCCCATTTTCTCAAACCTTACCATGGTAATACCTCATAATTGCCCTGTGTCCTTTAAGAAAATATACCAAAGTTACTGCTTTGGAAGTTGAAACAAATCAAACAAAAACAGTCATCATAACTTTCTGAGCTGAACTCTATGCCTAGAATTTGATTGTCCCAGCAGGTCCTTTTGGTAGCTCATACTCTGATGCAACCATGCTCTCTGGAAAAGGGAATGGCTGCCTATTTGAAATTACATAGCCTATCTTCTTTAGGGCTCACCATTTACAGAAAAACCACTTGATAAAGATGTTTTGGAGAAGATTAAATGACTATTAAGTATTAAAACTGATGAGACCTGACTCTATAAAGTTATGGATATAAAAATAAAGTCAGTATGGTTCTGGTCCTGAAGAAACAAAACATTCATACATTTTCCAATCCCTCTATAACTAATAATACATTTATTATTAATTTTTAAAACTTGTATTTTTACCACTAATTTTTTGTTCATTTTGCTAATAGTAAGTTTTGGTTTAAGGAGTACAGGGTAACTCATAAATCTTACAAGACAATACAGGCTTACAATATTTATCTAAGTGTTTCCACCTTAAGTTAAAACTTTAAACCATTTTCTATGTGAAAATCTAGAGGCTATTCAAGGACATTGAACTTTACCCTGCTCTTAGAAGGAAGCAACTGCGTTTTAGCCTCCCACATGCGAACAGATACAGCGCTCTGTACAGAAAGTGCTCTGTATGATGTTAAAGAAATATTTCATCATGAAGAACATTATGTGCAATGTCTGTAACCACAGAGTATGTAAATCCAGTGCCAATGCATTATCCCCTAAAGGATGCCAATCCTTGTCATATGTTGTCTTTCGCTCCATGGCGTTTGTTGCCAGTTGAGTTTTTCTCCATCCTGTGCTCCAAACTCAAGGCAAACCTATCTATCTGCCTATCTCACTGGGCATGCTCAAGGGCTTTCATTGGAATTGGAGCCAAAAATCACATAGTTGACTCACGGGCTCCATTTTGCAGCTGGCTGGAGAAACTATCATGGAAATAAGTTGAGACCGCCTTCATGGGCTCTAAGCCAGAGCTACCCCAGAGCAGGGAAGAATCCATATGGGACACCAGATCAGAATCATTTGAATTCCAGAGAGAACTGAGAAGACCTTGGCTCTGCCAAGATCCCAGTCCTCTGAAGTCAGAAGCATCCCCAAGACTCTCATGGTTTTCCTAAAGCATATTGGTAAATCTTTGGAAGTTCGAATGAAGCTGATGAAAAGTAAAACAAAATGTAGCTATCTGGGATTTACCAGAAGTTCCTGTCAAATGTGGTGTATTGTTTTTCTTTGCCATTCTACATCACTGAAATTTATTCATAGTTCTTTTAGTACTTATCTTTTAATCATCATGCCTAAATTTATCCCAAGGCTTGTTAACTATTTATGCTCCACTGTCAATTAAATACTCGCTAATCTAAAACTGGTCTTTTATCTTCTGGTTATGAGCTAGTAATTGAAGTAACATTTGTTTGTAAACTATGGAAATGAGATCAAATTTATTTAATGATTGCATCACAAAAATTCTGTTCAACATGCACATAAGCAGCTTTGCAACTTTACTTACTTTTAGTGACAACTCCCTCCAATCGAATGATATTGGGGTGATCAAACTGACCCATAATGCTTGCTTCTCCCAGGAAGTCTCTCCTCTGTTTTTCTGTGTAACCCACTTTCAGGGTCTTGATGGCCACTGAAATCTCCTTCTTTGAAGGAAGTTTCAAGTGACCACTGCATACCTCTCCAAATTCACCTTTTAAAATGAAGAACAATATCCCCATATAAGAAATTATATGAGAAAAATAATCATCAGTAAGTCGCAATTATTTACTATCAACATTATAAATTATAAACATGCATTCTTAAGCAGCATGATATACACAATAGATCTCCAAATTATTTTGGAAGATGAGAATCTAAGACTCTAGGGGAATCTCTAGTATCTCTACATCCAGTGGGGAAATGGGCCTTGTGAGAAATTGCAAACATTTACAAGTATCATCCTATGAATCCCAAGAGGAAAACTGAAGGTGGGAGCCGATTTTTCAGCATTGTTCTCGGAGCCACTATTTTCTCAGGTAATCAGCAGCGCAGCCTAGATACTATGGTTGGAGCATCAGATTACATTTCAGGTGGTTTAACTCTTTTTAACAATTTGACTATTTATACTCCTGGAGGTTTTGGAAAATGAGAGAGAAAGCATTGGCTCTCAATTCACTCTATTGATGGATTAGTGTACTGCATTGTGGACAATTCGTTGTAAAGTTCTCTTGTTTCCAAGGGGAGTTGAATGTTAGAACAATATGAAATGTAACATAAAATTCCACAGCCATGTAGCCAATTCCATCTCGAAGTGACCTTGTATAAAGCTTTTAAGGCTGCACGTTTTTAAAGAGAGAAGACAGCCTCATGTTTCTTCTGTAGAGCAGCTTTCCGGTTTGAGCCGCTGACCTTGTGGTTAGTAAGGCAATGCTTACCAAAAGCATTATCATAGCTCCCTGAAATATAACACAGTAAGTGTTAACTGTAAAATCCATGCAGAGCTTGTCTCTTACTAGAAAAGTTGCCTCAAGTATATAATGAATCCAAAATTCATTGGATATAGAGTTGGTGTCTTTTAAATATTCTTATCCGATGGATATAAAATTGCTGACAATTTGGATGGGCACCGTCATTGGAGATCTAGATCTCTGCCCCCACTGTTGCCTTGTTGATTGACAAAGAGTAGTGCTACCCACCATTTGTTCACTGAAATAAATCTAACATTGTGTGGAGTATTTGATTTGTTTTGTGCCATACTTGGGAAAAAACATAAAAAAATTTAAATAGCAAATTAGAGTTTCCAGAAATATGCTTAAATTAATTAATATCATCAATTAATCATATGATTGCTCCAAACATTTTCTTTGGCTTGAATAAAACTTTGGCCCAACCTTTTTTCACTGAAAGTCTACCCATCAGCTTCATGACCCACAGTATGGCAAGAAAGTTGGCAAGAAGTCAATTATTTTGACCAATGGATTTCCCACTCCAGAAATGTAGTCTTTCGACTGATCTAACTATTGGAACACTACAAGTGACTCACTTCTCATCAAGAATGTCTGACTCCCCAGATGCTGTCCTTACACAGGAACCCAGTGTCTCACTCTTCTCCCAAGAATGATGCTCCCTTGCCAAAGGCATAGAAGTAGTGTGACAGACACAATGCAAAACATGGAGATCATGGATAAATAGGCAGGTTTGCTTTTCCTTGGAAATGTGTACAAAAGACAGAAGTACCTAGGGCAAGAATGTTCTGTGAAATAGTAGAACGAACGAAGAGAAAGAACTTGCCACAATGTATTAATCTTCCTAAACTCAAGGGAGACGATGTCATTACAATCTTGAGAGAAATTACGCTTTAAGAATTTGCACGCAGAAGTTTTTTGCTGTTGTCTTTTCTTAAAACAAAGTTATCTGAAATAGCTAGAGAGCCCCAGTGTGCTTTGCTTTGGGCTAACTTAAGTCTTGGCAGCCATCAGGGGTATTCATAATGAAATAAAGACACACTGTTAATACAAAGGCAACAGAGTGCCACGGAGAGTCTTTTAAACTCAGAAGTCATCGCCACAAGTTACTTGTCACCTTATCTGATAAAGATACGCAGAGCAATGGTTAAGAGGGCAGATTCTGGAATAAGGCTGCATGGAGTTGAATACTGTCACTCATTAGCTATGTGGCTTTGATTTGATGGTCCAATTTCTCTGTGCCTCTTTTTTCTTATCTGTGACAAAGCAGACATTAATATTTTCTACCTCTTAAAATTGTTAATGCAGTTAGAGGAGTTAATGGGAGCAAAGCATCCGAAACATTGCCAGATACCTAGGAAGGGCTCCCTAAGGGTCGGTCATTCCCGACTGCTGTAGGTTCAGACCCACTTTAGGAAGGATATATTGTCGGCCTATTTCTTAAGAGTTGCAATTGAGCTCATACTGAGTTTATATGAAAATGCTTTGTACAATGCCAAACTCTACATTAATGTGGCTTGTGATGATGGCGGTGATAACAAGGTTCATGTTGTATTGGGCATGCATGTTTAACGCATAAATATGACCAAAGGCTTAATGAGATAAAAGAAAAAGAGAAGAGATTGTTCAGAGATTCAGTGTAGGTGAACCTCCTCTTTATCTTATTTATCACATACCATTCATAGGAAGTGCCCTTTGCCTCAACTACTGTGCTCTGGACATGGGATTGTCAATATCATCTGTGAGTCTAAGCTTTTACTACTGCAGTACCCCAAGATTTGTGGTCATGAGATGTCTGTCTGGCATGGTGGACACTGTGTGGGAAGAAGAGAGTTTTCCTTCCACTTAGGAGTTGCTCCAGTTCCATGTGCAAAGTTTGTGTGCTGCACACGCTGCTGCAGCTCCCCTGCAGGAGAACAGTGCACTCTTGTGGGGCAACATTCAAAGCAAACAGGAGGAAGAGATGTCTTAACGATGAAGTAGTTCACAAATCAGGAGTGTACAAGTGACAGAAAGTATCCATAAATATGTCTTTTGTCACTAAACTAGCATAAATGTATGTTATATGAGTGTGCATATCATGTATGTTAGGTAAGTGTGCATACTATCCAAGGTTTGATGTGAAGGCAAAAGTAGCCATTCCACGGCCTTTCAAGAGTCACTCGTATTCTATTCTAGTATTTGCTGGATCTGTTTTCGGAGTCTCTAAGTGGTAGGAGTGGTTAGGTATTCAACTAGTATGTGAAAAACTGGCAGTTCGAACCCACCCTGAGGCACCTGAGAAGACAAGTCAGTCGCTGTGCTTTCAATAGGAAACCTGGGAAACCAGCTCGACTTCGCACACATGGGGTCACCTTGATGCATAATTCACTTACCAGCAACTAACAACAGTAATAATATGTGAATACTAGGAGCATAAGCTATTCAGAAAATTAGACAAAGTATTTTATTTCAATAATATTAATTACTCAGCATGTCTTGCTAGAATTCTAAATGTTTCTTTGGGAACAGAAAAAAAAACAAGAAAAGGCTGTGGGGGTCGGGGGGGAAAGAGCACCTTACATGTTCATTGTTGGAAAGACAAATCAATCATAAATATGATACTTTCAGATGATGTGGTCTGCTACTTTATGCATAATTCAATTAGTTGATTTTTCAATCTTCCATGCTAATTCTTGTGTCATTATATTAGATGAAGTATAAAACTCTTAATTATTGGACAAGGTTTATTTTTCAATTGTTTTATTTGCATGCATACTAAATATACCAAGGATGTACACGTTATGTGTAAGTATACAAAAGAGTTACTTCATTATTGTTTTTATTACTGTATAAAATACTAAAGTTTTATTGAATGCACACTAATATTACCAATAAGAATTCCACAGGCATTTGCTAATGAGTTGAATGTGTTGTAGACCAAATTCCAAGGAGCGTTCAGATCACTGTTTTCCTATATATTTAGGTTTAATTTCTTAGATTTATTGAAATTGAGATACACTTTTAGACTCTTATCCATGTTTAACCAAGTGGGCTCTTGGCACATGTTCAGTGTAACCACTGGACGATCCAGCTGTTGCCCCTGAAATTCAATAAATAGTTAACTATTGTCTGTCAGTCTTTCAGTCTGGCACTTTTGAAATCATTCTGTTCCATTAAATCCGCTTCTTGTTTATGTTTTACAACCTTTCATCATGAAATGAACCTATTCCCCTCTTCCACAGCAATATGCTGAGTCAGCCAAGCAGCCAGCATATTCCTTCTTGTGAACTCATCACTAGCCCCGGGGTGGCCATGGCACTAGTTTGATGATTACCTGCTCCAACGACTTTGTCAATGGATATGTTGTTGGCATCCAATTCCTTGGCAAACTCATGAACGGCTTGGGTAGGGTCTTCATAAGTATGGGGGTCAACATAAGTTCTGAGACCTGGAAGTTTTACTGTTGAAGAGAAGGAAGAAAGAGCTGTACTTGGAGCTATCTTTGTGAAACCTTTACTGATAAAAATTTTATATTAACATTAGAAGGTAAAAGAGATGTTTCATTGCAGTAAAATAAACCACCTATTAGTTTATTCTATACTAGCACAATAATTAGCAGAGATACTCAACCAAGTATTAAATAATTTAAGAAATCAAGTCTCTCCCTACCAAAAAAGAAAAGTGAGCCGTTCTTTCTGAAAATAAATAACAAAACAAAACAAAAAGTATGAAAGGAAAATTCACTCAGAGAGGGCACTCTTGGTCCAAAATGAAAAAGGACCAATGATTAGCTTCTGGACACACCAGTGAATGAGTTTCATCATGCTCAGATTATCTATTATTACATATTTACAGTTCTCTAACCACTGTCCGATAATGAGCAAAATTATTTGAAAATAGTGCTTTTCTAAAACTCTATGGTTGCTTTATATATAGATAAATTAAAGAATGTTTATGGCATTTATGTCAGACATATTAATTTGAACAATCACATACTCCACTGCAATCATAAATCTACTTTGAATGTATTTGTATGTATATAATACAGGTATATAGTGTAAGTACAAACATAGATAGTACCAATTGACTAAAATGCAACTTTTCAATATAGTTAAAGGCAATGTAATTACTATCTGTAAGTTTAGCTGGTAAGGAGTAAAATTCAAACCATAGTTCATATTTATAACTTATTGAATATAAATCTTCTTCCCAATATGTTTATTGAGTTATTCTGAAGATGTACATTTTGAATTGACAAAAGCATGTTCTGAAATTAAAGTACCCCAGAAAAATCATGTGTTCTTATATAAAAGACATTGTGGATTTGCCTTAAAATCAGTGCGAGTTCTATTATTTGGGAGAAAAAACGTCACTTCAGCAATGATTTGGAATGTTAAATAAAATAAAAATTTTTAAACGGATCCTAAAAATCACTTGAAATATATAAAAAGAATCTAGCATATTTAAAAATACAACTCAGCTTCATCATATATCTTGATACAATTTCACTTTCGATTTTAGTTCTTAATGTTGGCAACATTGATTTATCGTGAACAGCGGAACAGAGATTTTTTTCATTCATCATACTAAATTTTGAAGTATTCTTCTCATCCTAAAATAAATATAATCAAGCATTACATTTCCCAATGTTACTGAAAACTAAGAAGTCTCCCCAACAAAATGACTACTCGATACTTTGTGATTATTGTAGGTCTCTTTGGGATAGTCTGGTCATTTGTGTTAAGCAGATGTGGAGACGGCAGAGGCTGGCAAAAGTTCTCCAGTAAAGACTCCAGCCCAAAGAACAATAAGCCAACTAACTAAGTCCAGGATTTCAGCGTCAGTGCTACGAAATGAACTCTCATTTGAACTACAAGGCAACTTCATAAATGCCATTGTTACACCTCATTATTACTTATGTTTCTGAAATGTTTCCAGAGAGGTTTCTAAGAATGAAATCTAAGTCATACAAATAAATGAATTATAAAAGCGGTAAGAGTAAATGGCTGAGACATGACATGGAAAAATTCAAATTTCCTCCTATTTCTTCCTTTAATTTTTTTTTGGAAATAATAGAATGTGAAAGGGAGGAAAACATAGAAATATTAAAAAAAAGTAGGAGAAATTCCAACTGAACTAATTCAACTCCTAATTCTGCTGGGTGTTCAGTCAGCTAGGGCAAAACAGCAGCTGCTGCACAGGCTGAAACAGAGTGTGGATGACAAGAAAATACAGAAATATCTAGGTAGTCGACACGCTTACAAATACAGATACTTCAAGGTTTAGCTTTTGCTTTGGACAAATTGATTGCAATACCTTTGAGGAGGAAATTCAACTTCTAAGGATTTTCTACTTTAAAAAACTCAACTACAAAGAACAATCTAGGCCTCTGAGAAACCTTTTGAGACTGTATTATACAGCTGTCTAATCTGAATACCCATTTCATAGTGCTCAGTATGGGATAGATTCGATTGCCATTATGAATTTCACTGTTTATGTTGCGTTTTTCATGATTTCTAAAATACCATTTCATTTCAATGCCAGTAGAAGTTGGCCCAGGAAAGGTCTGATTCTTCTGAACTTACATTTCAGTCTGCATGATTCTGCTACAATGATAGAAGAAGTGGGTTAGCCTGTTCATAACCATAGTAGTCGGCATATAACCTACTTTAAGATTTAGCTTTTTGGAAATGCAAAATGTGACATCCCACTCCCTTGCAGTAAAAATTCCACTTAAGCTTAATCAGTAAAGGTGTTTTAATTCACGAAAGTGGGAAGCAAGGCCATTAAGATAAGTAGCCAGACAGGAAGCACCCCTCAGGTGGATGAACCATTGAGTATGAGGCGTCAGGAGATGGTGTCCTGGTGAGGTCTGGAGAAATGTAGATATAGATCATTGTTTCCTGGGATCATTTCAAAACCTGCTTTTTGTCAAAGAGCTTAGGATATATAACTTGCTTGATTTTCCCTAGAATTTTGAAGCAGTCTGGAAGCCCTGGTGATGTAGTGGTTACCCATGGGCCTGTGACCCTCATGGTTGGCAGTTCAAAACCACCAGCAGCTCCATGGGGAAAAAGGCTGGCCTTTCTTCTCCATACACAGTTACAGTCTCGGAAACCCACAGGGGGTCACTATGAGTCAGCATTGACTAGGCAGTGTTTGGCTTTTCGGTTTTGGAAGTAGCAAATCCAGTTTCCTTCTGCCTCACGCTTGGAGAAAAACCTTGGAATTTCTCAACTCAAACTGGTCTCTGTCTTTTATTCAAACAGTGACAGGAAATCCCTGACCCTTGTTCATGGCAAAAATAGTACAAGTAACGCACTGTAAAAAAAAGATGCCAGTGCTATACTTCAGTACAGTAATTTACTACATGTTTGTTTGTTTGCAAGAAAACTACATTTAACATCACCATATATGTAACTATCCAACATGAAAACAGATTAAGGAACACTCCCTTTGCTTTTCTTACTGTGGAGAAAGAAAAACTAAAAGTAATCATGGATTTATTGGCATAAGTTAAGAAATGATGTCTTTATGTAGTCGACTTGCTTCTATGTTTTTAAGGCTCATATATCACGTTGACGCTATGCCATGTGAGATGCCAATTTTGACTTGCATCTTCTTGGTATTAAAAAGGTAAGAAAACCCAACATGTATTTTCAAAGAAAGCAAATAACACTCTTAAAAGGTGAAAATGAAAGTATTTCTGATGAGCAACTATAAGTGTTTACCTAGCCAAGTTTGAGAAAACCCCTCTGGGAAGATTTACAGGTGTCCCAATTTACAAGGAAGATTATGAAGGGAGTCGTCAGGTACAAATGTCTGAAGCATTTCCAATAAGCCCTGGATTTCAAAAGTCTTTCAGGTGAGCTTTCAAATTACCCTGCAGTGCTCATCAGCCTGACAGGATATAGGTATCATTAAATATTTGACCTTTTAATAAGGGTTCATCCAAAATCAAATTAATTATATTCATTAAATTGAACACATTGTTTTTCCTTCACATGGTATTCAGTGAAAAATACAAATATAAGCCCACACATATTACCACCACCACCACCACCACCACCACACACAGCAAGTATTATGGCCTGTTCACTGTGGGGACTTTGGCTGCTGATTTTTAACTGCTGACCCCAGAAATTCCAGGAATCAGGTGATTCAGGCTGCAAGGCACCTAATCCCTTCACACCAATAATTAAGGGCAACATAGAGGGTCACTGGGCTCTGTCTTGAAAACCAGATAATAAACACATGGACACGTGTTAAGCTGCATGACTTTACAGCTCATTCTGTGAAAACACAATAATTTACATTTTCATTTTACCAGCATGAGTTGCCCTAAGGAGAGCAAAAATATAAAACAGTCCAGCCAGAGAGAGGGCAAGGGGACAGAATTTTAGGAGGTGAAACACATTTCTTTCCTTTTGAAGCAATATTATAGGGTAAGTAACAAGACAGGAGGGAATAGTTCATAGTTTGAGCCTTTTAAAGTAATACCCCCAAAAAGTCTGAAATAAAGCAGCTGCAGTATTAAAGCTTAAAAAGCTTCTGACATGCCTTTAAGTCAGTGTATCACAAAGATATTATATTTTTGAAGAAAATCAACATTTTAGAACATTCCACCATAAAAACTGTCAAAATGGATAGAGATGATTTTCCTATGGAAATTTGCTTTCATTTGGCACGCAAAGTTACCAAAGGTCCAAATTCAAGAGACTTATCATTCAAATGAAAAGGCCAGCAGAATGGCCTGGCCCTTAAAACAATATCCATATCAGTTGTTCAACTCAAGTTAAAATCAGACTAATCCACCAAAATAACTGATGTTACAGACGCAGGGAGATGGCGATGGCATGTTTTGTGGACTCTAGATCAAAAGGCAGACGAACGGCCTGCAATCTGTTCATGGCTTTTCTACAGCCTTTGGAGCTGGTCCCCTAACTGGGCAGTCATGCGGCGCTGTGGATCTCAGGGAGGTCGCCCTCTGGCATGGTACCTGTGCCATCCCATAATGACGGCACACGAGATGGAGATGGAAGGAAACATTAACGGACAAAGCAAACACTGTGGTCTGCAAACTCTTGTGCTGCTTCCATCCCTCGTCCATTTACATTTGGAAGAGATTCTTCCGTTCCAGTTCCAGTGTGCCCTTTGCAGGTTAGCATAGGGAATCGAGTTTTCAAATGCGTTATAACGAAATCTATCATTTTGGGATGCACATCTCATGGCTGATGCCAAGTTGATTTTAAAAGTAACTTCAGAAGGTCATAGTAAATTCCAGAAGAGACACATGCTTACAAAATTAATTCTGTGATATTGAGATTACTTTAGAGCACAGGAGCACAAGTGTTGTCTCTGTGCCCATTTCCAGGAGAACAAGCTTCTCCCTCTCAGGCCACCACTTGCTTTGTCATTGTCACCTTAAGCTATTGTTTTGAAAAAACTCCTGGGATGACAAGTTCCCATGAAAATCAAACAAACAAAACAAAGAACAAGAGATTCTTTTTGTTAAAGTGATTTCTTTATCCCCCAGAAAGATTATTCTTTAGAAAATATTAAGAGACTAAATGGGTTGATATTAAAATGGAAGGGGGAAAGTGCTGGGTTTTCTACAAGTTGGCTATGGTGGGACCCTACGACGCAACAGTTTATTTTAAAGGCCCTTTCCTGGTGACTTGGCAACGGGGAGTACATTTCATATAAACAGAGGTTGTTTATATTTACTTGGCAGTTAGGAAAGAGAAAAGGTTTCTATTTAGGTTTCAGCAAAGGGCTGCTAATAAGGAAATTGAAGCTACGCTTTGCATTTCAGCCACGCTGAGCTGGCTGCAGTTGGTACTACCCACCATATGCATTGCTGAAGTATAAACCACAGGTCACTCTTTACTTTAAGTATGTTGAAATGCAGCCATGTAAAAACTACTTAATGCAGAGCCCTGAATTTCCTTCTCTTTTTAGAAACAAATTTAATTTGCTCAGCTCTCCCTTAAAAGTAATTTTCCTCTTTGTCAATGGGAAATCTTTCCATTATAAACCAACAAATGCTAAAACGAAAACATTAAAACCCAACCAACACAGGCCAAATGAAAAAGTAAAAGAAAACTTCAGAGCTTACAATGTCCATTCCCAAAGTGAAGTCTTTTCTCATCGGCACCATGTTTCGACTTTTTATATCCACAGAACCTACAGGCAAATTGCGGGGAGAAAAACTTAAGGAAAATATACATTGAAGCATTGTCTATACTCAGACATGCAAAGCACACAAGAATAAGTATTTTCCTCAAATAATTAAATGCTTTAGTGAATGTTTAATGACTTCATGTTTTCTAAATTCTCTATAGAAAGCCTCCTCCTCTGGGAATTCTGGAAAGCTGCCTAATGAGGAGATATGTAGGGTTGCTTCCCCACTGGGCAGACCCCACTAGTGAGATTTTATAATGGCCTTGAATGTGTTTATAGCATTTTCTTTAACAACGACCATTAGAATGAATGAAGGGTACAATCCCCATTGTGAGTGGTTACTGCTGTGCAGTGTGACACGTATTGTGGGTGAGAAAGTGTTGGGAAATGTGGCATGCATTTGAAAAGTGAAAGGATAATTGGAAAAAGAAAATAAAAGCTAAGGGTAGAGTCAAAAGAAGAGACGTGCTGTTTGTTGTAGAGTGGTGGTAGGATTTAATGACGGAAATAACGCCAGTCCTAAGGATGGGGAAAAATCAAGGTAAAGATCAAGAAGAACCTAGAAAAAGGCATGGACACTCTTCCTTGCTGAATTGACCGCACTTTCAAATTTGAACATCTATGGTGGGGGGTGGGGCGGGGGAAGCGACTTTTCAAGAAAGAATGAAAGGAAATAGCAAAAGAGACGGTGAACTCACCTCCCAATTAAGACATAGATGACAACGGTGAGGAGAATCACTGCTACTGCAGCTGAGATGACGATCAGAACCACTTGGCTATTTTCGCCAGAGATAGAGAAAGCTGTGAGGTTGCAGAGGGGAAAAAAATGAGAAAAGAGAAAGAATTAAGATATCACAACTCACATCTACATAGAAAGGTTCACCTATTAAGTCATGGTTACTTTGCTTTTACTTCACATATGTTGTAATACCTGATGTACTGGAAGGAATTCCTCCTATAGTATGTATATGTATATATATATACACACACATACACACATACATACATATACATACACATACGTATATATATATACACACACATATTCCTCCTATAGTATGTATATGTATATATATACACACACACATACATATACATACACATACATGTGTATGTCTATATATGTATGTATGTATATATATATATATATATATATATATATATATATATATATATATATATATATATATATATACATATATAAAATCCCCCACCATGTTGTTTCACATTGTTTCTTAGTTGGTAATATTAAAAAATATCTTTCAATTATCCAATCAAACACTACTCATGTGCTTTCTGTGTGAAATATGCTGAACTGTTTTTCTCTTTCCTATCTGAAAATGAATTCACTGGAAAATCCAGAAGTTAATAGAAGAAATCTAGGAGTTATGGGATACAGAGAACAAGTGACTCGCTTTCAAAATAAAACTTTTTTCTAGCTTTCTAATGAATAATATTTAGCATCCAATACTTATCCTTTTAAATATTTAGATATTATAAAATTAAACATTTTAAATAAAAGGATTAAAAATTATCTTCCAATATTTCTCCTTTTAAACAGAGGTAACAAATAGTACCGCTTCTGCTCCAACACACACAGTCAGCAATCTCTCTTCTCCTATTGTTCCTACTTCTTAAATGGTCCCTTCAGCCATCCATTCAATTAGACAAATCTATTGCCATCAAGTTGATTCCAACTCATAGCGATCCTCGAAGATCAAGTAGAGCTGTTCTTATCGTTTCTGAGGCTCTACAACTTTATAGGAACAGACAACTCTTCTTTCTCCCATGACTTAACCCCTAACCCTAGGATTAGGCTACTGCTTAAGCTACTGTACTAGGAGATCTTCAGCACCAGAGCAGTGGTTCTCAACCTTCCTGATGCTATGACTCTTTAATAGAGTTCCTCATGTGCGGTGACCCTCAACCATAAAATTATGTTCAGGCTACTTCATAACTGCAATTTTGCTACTGTTATGAATTGTAATGTAAATATCTGATATGCAGGATGTATTTTCAATTTTATAAATTGCACATAATTAAATATAACTAAAGCATAGCAATTAATCACAAAATAATATGTAATTATGTATTGTGAAATATGTATGTGTTTTCTGATGGTCTTAGGTGACCCTTGTGAAAGTGTCATTCGACTCCCAAAGAGGTCGTGACCCACAGGTTGAGAACCGCTGACCTAGACAGAGAGTTTCCAAATTGTCTCATCACCAGTTTTTGTATAGCCCAAGAGCTAAGAATTATTTAAACATTTTTTAAATCACTGAAAAAAGTAAGCAGACTATTTTGTGACACATGAAAATCAGTTGCAGGGATGATAACTACAGTTTTATTTAGACAAAGACATATATCCTTGTATGTACTGTGTATGGCTGTCTTTACCCTATAAGGGCCAAGTAAGTAGTATAGACTGAGACTCGTGAAGGCTAAAATATTTATTACTAGGCTATGTATAGGGACACTTTTCTGATCATTGTTCTAGTGCCCAATGCTTCTCAAAATTTAATATTCATAAACCACTTGATGATCTTACTAAACATTTTTTAAAATATTTCTTGATTTGGGAGGATGAAACTGTACCTATCTTAGACTCTTCCAGGTGGTGTTGACCTCCTGATTTCAGGATCATCCAACACATTTTGGGTAGCAAGGCTCCAGAACACACATTTGAAGCCACCTTCACTTCTCCATCTTCTAACCATTCTATTTCCAATGGTCAGCAACCCCTCTAAGACATCTTTGTTTCTTCTAGTTCACCTTGGAGCGGGTGTTTTTAAACTATGAATTTGATCATGTCATCCCCATACTTAAACATGTGGGTGACTCTTCATTACTTTCAGGATTATATAAAAGTTCTATATTCTAAAATGGTGGCCTCTTCTGATGACAAATTCAATAAAAAATCCTACTCTGGACACAGGATTATATAAAGAAGAATGCAGCATCAGGATCGAAAGGCTTATAAACAACCTGTGATATGCGGATGGCATAACCTTGCTTGCGGAAAGTGAAGAGAATTTGAGGCACTTGTTGTTGCGTCTCAAGCATTGCAGCTTTCGGTATGGATTATGACACAATGTAAAGAAGACCCAAATCCTTATACCTGGGCCAATGGGTAACATAAGAATAAATGAAAAAAAGATTGAAGTTGTTAATAATTTTGTCTTGCTTGTGTCCATGATCAATGCTCATGGAAACAGTAGTCAAGAGCACAAAAGATGGGCACATTTGGGTAAATCTGCTTGCACAACGCATCTTGAAAGTGTTGAAAAGCAAGGCTGTTACTTTGAGGACTAAGGTGCACCTGGCCCAGGTCATGATATTTTCCATTGCCTCATACGTGTGTGAAAGTTGGACACTGAATAAGGAATACTGAAGATGAATCGGTGGATTTGAATCATGATGCTGGAGAAGAATAGTTAAAGGACTTCAGACTGCCAAAAGAAGAAGCATATCGATCTTGGAAGAAGTGATGCCAGCGGATTTCTAATAGACAGCAGGGTGTCACGACTTAGTCTCACACACTGGGGACACATTTTCTGGAGGGAAGACTCCCTGGAGCAGAACATCATGTGCGGCCAACGGGAGGGAGAGCACAAAGGACGGTCCTGGATGTGAGGGACTGACATTGCGGTACAGCAATAGGCTCGAACCTAAAGGCAACGGCGAGGCTGGCCCAAGACCAGTTGGCATTTTGTTCTGTTGTACATGGGATCGCTATGAGTTGTAACTGACTTGTTGGTCGCACTGAACAACAACAACAACAATCTCTCAAAAACCAAACCTCATTGCCCTGGAGTTGGTTCCAACACACAGTGATGCTGTAGGACAGAGAACTGTCCCTTGGGCTCTCAGAGACTGTAACTCTTTACTGGAGATGAGCCTGGTGTACAACAATCAGAGATTTTCTAATATGCATGGAACTTCTTTAACAGTCTCTTTCATATTCACATACTTTTGCATATGTTGCTGTTATATTAAAGACTCTTAGAGTAGAAAGTTCAGTTAACTGTATACTATTCTCTTACTAGAGGCCAACATGGCACCTTTAACAGGGTCAGATCTAAGTTGAGACAGTTTTCTCTAAAATAAGGAATTTTAGGAATAGTTAAATGATGCAAGGAAATAAATATGACAGATAGTCTGTGACACGTTTCCTAGGCATTTAAAAAGGGCTTAGAGTGTGGTAGAATGGCATAAGCATAAACTGTTGCAAACACTTTATTCTTTACTACCAGCAAACTACTGTTTACACCATTGTGGCAGCTCTGGGGGTGCCAGTTCAGATCTCCTTGCTGCCAACAGTGCAGTGAACAGACAGTCTCCAGCTGCTGCACCCTCAGGGTCACCATCATTTTCACTCCCAGGCCACAGTCCCTTTAAATGAATGAGCACAGCAGGGTCACTGGAGTCAGGCCATCCTTCCTCCAGTGATCTCCCTCTGAGCTCTCATGGGCTGGCTTGAGAGACTCAGAGCTGCCTTGCAGTTGGAGACTCTTCTGCCAGCCCTTCTCTTTTGCTTGCTGTTCATAGATTTGCAGGCTGCATCTGACAATTCACTCACCCACTTTATCCTACAGAGATGTTTCTCTCCAGAAAGTTCTTACTTTTAAGTGTCATCTCAGCATTTACTTCCCAGAGAACCCAAATGGAGGCAACCTTATCTGCTGATAACGATCTATGGAGGATTTCAAAATAGACTAGCCTAGTGTTTAAAAGTCATACAACAGGTGTGCACAGTAGTAGATTGAACACTTGTGCTTTTCATTTTATATGCTAGTAATTTATCAATAGCAGCAAGTTCTGAATCATCTTGATTTTTTCCCCCCAATGTTTTAATATAATAAAGTTTGGGGAAACTAGGAAGGGAAACATTACAGGAGGAAGAAAGATTCACTATTTCTTCTGTCAAAGAAGTTATGAAACTAAGAATTCTCTACAGTCCACCTAACTCTAAGGATGTATCATTCCAGAACACTCTCTATAACAGTAATATTCCAACACACACATACGCACAGTTCCTAGTATACCAGCTAATGTGTCGATAATCTTACAACTACTGACTATGTTTAGTAATACAAAAGTCCTGCTAGTATTTAAGGCACAATCCTTTCCTCCAATTTCCAGATGGGAAACTGAGGCATGAAGAGTTAAAGTGACTTGTCCAAAGTCATCCAGCTAATAAATGTCAGTCTGGCTCTAGAATCCTTGCCCTCATTTACCATGCATTATGCCTGGTTCCTTGAGCACAAAGTACAAATCCTGACTTCTGACTCTTCCCACTGAAAGGTTCCAGAAACTGTGTGATTGTCTTCTCTTCCTAAACATGCTAACTTTTACCTCTTGATTCAGTGGAAGATGCCTTCACTCCAAGGCCTTTCTTTTCCAGACTTACTGTTTCCTGTAGAGTTTACGTTAGCATCATTTTCACTCTTTTAAATGCACAATAGAAACACTGAATCAGGATCTAAATGCTCATAGATTCTACACTGATCCTCACCACTAACCATTCTGCAATCTTACAAAAAAAAACAACAACAACACTTCAACTCTGAGTTGCAGATGATGTGTGAAAACAATTAATAGGATCTGGATAGCTTATGGAATATGATCAAATGAGATGTTTATGAAAATGCTTTATTGATTGTCACATAAATGCATGGGTTCTAGAATCAGACCCATCACTTACCAATTGTGTGATTTTGGAAAGTTTACTTAACCTCTCTATGCCTCAGTTTCCTCATCTGTAAAATGAGGATGATAATGAATGCAAAATACTTACATATTAAAATATTTCAAGCACTTATCACAATACGTGCTCCACTTTGCTCAAAATATTTACTAAAACCAAATTCAGAAAATGTTCTCCAACGTCAATTTTAGAATACACTGTGCTTTACTGTGGTATGAACTAGAACTTTAAAAATACAAGTATTTAGCAAAAGACTCTAAATTCAATTGTTTTTATGAATATAACACTTTGATTTACAAAAGAGAGTGAGGATTGATTTTTATATTTTACCCCCTAAGCAAAACAGTTATTTTTTCCCTCGTTTATATTTAAAATGTGAAATCATTCTTAGGCTCTGCATTATGGGCAAATTGATTTTTAAAATATTAAGCTGCTCAACACAGATAGGTTTATGAATGGAATCAAGAAGTAGAAAAAGTCCAGCATTTTTCTTTCTATACCCATTTCCTCTTCTGATGGAAACATGTCAAGTTTAAAACTTAAATGGAAAAAACTCCAAAGACCTTGGAGTTTTTAAATGAAATATTTCTAAAACCTCAGACACTTCAGGCTCATGAGAAGTTCATGGATAAATACTACACTGCAATAACTGTGGCAAATCTGGAATTACATGAGCATTGTGAAATTTGTTATTTTTGAAAATGTACTTATCAGATAAACTCGGGTTCTGTGCTGATTTGGAACATGCAAGCTAACATTGAGGTTTTGAAACAAGTATCAACATAATAAACATTTATTTAATGGTGTTCTGACTGTCCCAACCCTCAATATGCCTTATTTCTGTAACAAAATAGAATAAACATTTGCTTTCTCAGTCCTCTGATTTAGGAGATGTCCTGGCAAATCAAATTTAGATTTTCTTGTTGCTGCTGTTAACCTTAATATGCATTTATTAAATTGGAAAGAATAAATCTGTAACCATTTCAGAAGTAAAATTTTCTTTGCCCCACTTACAAACGGTTCCAAGGCTTAGAACTACTATAGTTAACTTTCAAAACACATCATTGATGTGCCAGTTAACGTGTTTATTTATTTAAACTTGTTCCCATGGAAATCCACATCATCTTACTAAGTTTTGCTTCTAATGTTCTCTGACAGTGGTATCTTGATACATATTTCATGATAGAAAGTTTAAGACAAGCGTTTTTTGACAACTTTGTGTACATGAATATGGCAGCTCTCTTCTGAACAATTGTTCAGCCATGGAGATGATAATGATTATTTCAAAACTTTCAGTAGTTTGATAGCTTTACCTTATAGAAGTAACAACTTTTTAATACAAGCAACATCCCTGTCTGACCAAAAAAATGCTACAAAATATTCAGTCCATTGTATTAATCCGTATAGTTTTTATAACTTTTGTCAGTACTGAATGAAAATTTGGCATACAAATATGCCCACTTTGGTGCATATACATTTGTGCATCTTCTTTGAGTTTTCATTCGAACTGGTTGACCATTGTACTGGTCTCCTCACTAATTAATAAATTAAGTATCATCTCCAAATTTGCATTTTAATATTAGTACGATACCAGGATTTTACCTTTTTGATAATAATATCTTTGAAGACAATTCTTCAAATATGCAAAATATCTATGCACAAAAGAAAAGACCTACTTGGAAAATGTTTGCCATTTTTATAAAAACCACACTTGGCATCAAATGGATAGACTATTTAAATTATTTGTAAATGTGAATGAAATGGTAAAACTAATTTTAGAAAATCCTTATCCCTGTAGTGATACAAGATTCAGTGTGTCAGTGATTAAACAGAATGAAGATCCTCACAGATCAGCAAATGTCTTTTTTATAGTTCACTGAACATGCTATGAACCTGGAATAGCTGTAATAACAGATACAAGAAGTAGGCTAACATATTAAATAATGTTCCTTAGGAGGGAATAGAAAACCAGACAAATTCCAGATACGTGGGTAAGTTCAAATTGTCAAGAGAAAGCACAGATGAACATCCACACAAACACAAATACATGGACACAACGCTGTGCAAATTACTAAGTGATGAAGGCTATGGCTTTCCGTGTCACCTTTGGTTACACCTCAGGAAGAATGAGAATTAATCACCAGTCCCTTTTGAGAACGATCTCCCACGCCCACCTCATTCACGACAGGAAAGTCATACATACAGTCGGGGCTGGTTTCAAACTCAAACTTGGGGCTGTTGGTCCCATATCCAGCTGCTGTTCGGGCTCGGATTTGGAATACATAGGTAGTGTCAGGTTTGAGGCTACTGATGGTAACATTTGTACCTCTTGCTCTCAGAATGGTATAACTTGTTTCTTGTTCCTGCTTTGAAGTAAGAATAATTCATGTTAAAACAAAATCCTCATAAGGCGATCCGGTTGTAAACTGTAAACAATGAACCACTTAAATAATTTCATTCTCCATTATTTTTAGATTTTAATATTGAGGATGTGATGGATAATCAAACCACAAAAAGAATTGTTTTACTCTCTGAATGTATAAGGGGTTTGTCATTGTTGATTTTTGTTTAGTTTTTAACTTTTAAAGTTGGAAATAATTACTGAATGACCAATTTTGATATAATCATCTGTGCCTTTGAAATAGAGCAGAGAAAGTTAGGCTTTCATAGGGACTAGAGCATTCATAGAGACTCCAAGAGATTCAGAGCCAGACTCCATTCGTGATCATTAGTGAACTGCATAATCAGAAAATCTTGGCCTTGTGGAGTTTACAGTCTAGTAAATAATCTAGAATATTTCTAAACATTACGTATATGTGTGTGTTTATCTAAGTACATATGTATATAGATACTTATATAAGGAATACATGTTTAAAATGGTAGATGATAACATAAATATCTATGCAAAATATATGTATTTAGTTGTCAAATTTTAGAATACTTAGGGAAAACACAAGATAGTAAAATACCTCTTTCTGTCATTCTTTTTTTTTTTTTGAATCATGTTATTGGGACTCATACAATTCATCACAATTATAATATAATAGCAATATATATTGTGCTTGTTTGATGGAGTTGGGTACATTTTCAGAATTTTTCAGTGTTAATATATGATGTGCTTATTGATCAGTTGTGTTTGGGGATTAGCCCCATAGATCTGAAGATTGTGTGTTCTGTTTCTGGTTCTGCTGTCCAGTCCGAACGGACTTCCTGCCCTTGTCTCGTTTCTGACTCAGAGTGCTCCTAGAAGACAGGGCAGACTTGCCCCTCTGCGTTTCACAGGCTTTCAGTCCTTATGGGAGTAGGCAGCCTCATTTTCCTTCCAAGGAGCAGCTGGTGGGTTCAAATTGCTGACCCTGTGGTTAATGACCCAGGGCATAGTCCAGTATGCCATCCAGGGTCCTCCTAGTGTAAACTGAAGAACATTATTGATTTTATTTTCTTGCATGATCAATTAACATGGATATGCTAATTTTCCCAATCTACCTTGTCACACTTAAAAAAAAGTAGATATAATAATCCATTATCTTAGCATAAACATAAAGGATAAACAGGATAAAGCTTAAGTTGACTATAATTTTATATAGGCCTTACAATTTTCCATACTAAGTGTACATCAGAGAATTATGGACACCATAGTTATGGAATGTGTTTATTTCAGTAAACACTATATAATGCAAAGTAATATGTATTTGTTATAACTATTTATACAAATAATAATACCTATAATTGATGGAACCTTAATAACCCATTGTTAGATATAGGGAAGTAGGTATAGAATTTTCCTACAAACCAAGTCACAGAGACCAACATTCAAAACAGATTGGCAGTGAGGCTGCCAATGTTACTGAGACCAAATGTTACTGAGTCTGAGTTATCCTATTTGTAAAAAAAGTATTTCATAGGAATTACAGAGAGCTCTATTTTAAATTGTGTATGCAAAAATATTTCTCAATATTAAACTGCTACATAAATGCACAATTTGCTTTTAATTCTCTTTAAAGTACTCTATAAACCCTAGCAGAAACCAAATATAGTTTTCTGCCATATTACCATTTAGAAAAAAACAGTTCTGTTGAAAAGGTATGAATATTACCATAATGTGTAACCAGGAGTAATAAATGAGCTTCATATGTAAGTGACAGACCACTACTGGTTCAAGTCTAATTATTTAAAAGAATAAGAGTAAAACCACGTACATAGTTTTTACAACTACATTACTGTATCAAAACGTAATAATGTGCAACAAACTGGCCCACCACCACTACCTTTTAATATCCTTGAAGAGATACTCAGATCAATAATGCAGTGTTTGATGATTAGTGCACTATTCCTAACTCCTTTGAACAAAATGCATGTGAACAAGAGGGTCTGGAAATGAGACTAGCGGCAATGAACTGCAGGTTAAGGAACCACCCCAAGAGTCTAGCAATTAGGGGATTTGATAGGGAAAAACCTCGGTGTCGTTTGTTTTAGTATATTAAGCTGGTTTATAATTGAAAAGTCACGTCTATGCTAAATAATGGAATTGTAGAATGGAAAGTTTTCAAAAAGGCAATTCTTACATCGTTTTTTACCTTGTACTTTGTTCATGTCATCAGTGTTTAAAACGGAGTTCTACCATTTACTGTGTCACTGGTTTCTTTGTGAGAACACGGGTAGTTCTTTCCATATAAAACACCTTAACAGCATCTCCTTACCTTTTCATAGTATTTGACCTCATAGTCCAATATGATCCCATTAGGATGTTCAGGTTCCTGCCAGGATAAAGAGATGCTGTTTCTGGATGTCTGGTCCTTCTTAATTGTCATGACAGGCGATGGAGCTGTAATGGGAGAATGGGGAAGGGGTGCGGGGGTGGTTCAGAGGAAGCAGATTAATGGAGTTGGGGGATGTGGAAGAAGAGCAAAAAAGGAAAGGAACAAGCAAGTATAATCTATCACTGGTCCAATCGTTGGAAAGAAACCACTTTTCCTATTTCAAAGGTTCCTCAGTATTAATCTAGCCCCATAACAACCCCCAGCAGCTGAATTGTAGCCGTGGTATGCATAAGACCACAGCAAATGAGCTGAGATTTTCTGCTGTCCATAGACTAGTGGCAAGTGAGCGATGGTTTCAATCTGCTACTATAATGTAAGCAATGGAATATATTTGATATACTAAAGAAGAACAAAATATCAGGACTACCTATTTGTTAAAATGTGGTGAAGTTATTAATGCCAGATTCTTCAGCTCATGGATAACATTTTCACACACCACTCTGGAAGACAACTGCACACTACCATGCATAAGGAGTGAGCCCATGATATCCAGAGGGGGTAATAATACTCAGAGCCTTGTAAAATAGATAAGACTTAGGTCTTATTATACTAGCTCTTGACATATGACAAAAAATTCTCAAGTACAGAAATATTAATATTAGGAAAATAACAACCATGTCTTGGGTTTTTTTTTGTTTTGTTGTTAAATAATACATTTATTAAGAATACAATGATTGCAGCTTCTATGCACATAACACTTTTTAGACACATTTTGAAGTATCTTATTAGTTTGTAACTTGATATTTGTTATATTTTACTGTGTGTTTCAAAAACATGGAATATAAATTTAAACAACCAAACATCTGTCTGGATCAGATAATATAGGGTCACCTTCATTTCCAACTCAAGATTAAATATATTTAACTGATTTCCTACTTAAAATCTTTCCATTGAAAAGAAACATGCATGCTAACAAGATGCTTCCTTTTGTACATATCTGACGACCAAAGAAAATAAAATCTCACTCCATGATTTAGGCATTTCACTTTAACATAAAGCAACAAAATATAAACAAAACACAAACAAAATCTCCAGACATTTTAGCTACATTAACTATTGAATTACTTTCATTGTTAAAAGACCTATTTCCCCTCTACACATTTTTCGAATCAAGTATTATTTGGATTTTATACATTTATACATTTTATATGTATACATTCCCCACACAGCTAGTAGTAGATGTTCCATATTTGTTAATTTGGCATTTCCATGATCACAACAAGCCGTCTTTTGCATTTTACTTATTTAAATTATTCCTGTTCATAAAAATATACCATTTTTCCTCTTCTCATAAACATGTCTTTCATTAACTTTGCATTGTGACAGTGGAAAGAATAAATCCAAATGTACATCTATTACAATACATTTCCAATCTACTTATTTCTAGGAGTCTAGATTCCTTTACCAAATCTTTCAAACTGTAGCATAATTTCTTTAATGGCCTGGGAATGATTCCTTAATATTTCTGAAAGAGAAAGGCAGGTGGAAAAGTAATCTCATTTTCGTATTCATATTTGCCTATATTAATATAATTTAATATAAATTAGCATCATTAACTTTAATATCTACTCTTCACTTATTCATTAGTTTTGTTGTTTTATTATCCCCTTGGTCTCACTTTCCCAGCTGTGTTTACTGCTCTGAGGTCGATTTTAACCTAATGATAGGTTATTTGGATTATATTTTAGTCAAAGATTTATAAACATCTACAATGTTTACAAACATATAATGATGTTATAAGTAAATGGCAAAAATGTTGTATTTGGTGAGATTTAGTTTTTTGTAATTTCTGTGCTAGTCTGGGTGCATTAAAGAAACAAATCTACAGAAACCCATATGTATAAGAGAGAGTTTTATAAGTAAGTGCACATCAAGAAAACATCCCAACCCACTGCTGCCCAAGCCCACAAGTCGAACATTAGCCCATATGTCCGACACCAATCCACAAAGTCCTCCTCCATCTCACAAAACACATGCAATGATGCAGACTGCAGGAGAAAAGCCGAATCAGTGAGTGCGTGAGCATATCAGCACTGGCAGGGGTCTCCACACCGGCTGCTCCAGCACCCAGGGCTGCATCGGGGCAGGTCCATGTGGCTTCTCCTTGGGAATGTCTTGCAGAAAGTGAGCCTTGCCAACTAAAGCAGGGAACTGGCTAAGGCAGCTGCACCCTGGTCTGACCATCACAAAGCAAGAGACCCCAGAACTAAAAAGGCGAGGCTCACCAAGCCATTTAGCTCTCTGTCCTTCAATTAACCACACATGTGTTTACTGGCTAGGTTGGTACAATAAACTTTTAACTATCTCAATTTCCATAATAAGTACATAGAAAAATCTATTCAATATCCAATCACTAATACTCAAGTAAGAACCCTAGAGGTGTAACGGTTATGAGATGGTCTGTGATCCCCATGGTCAGCAGTTCAAAACCAACAGCCATTTCATGGAAGAAAGAGTGGGTTTTCTACTCTAGTAAATATTTGCAGTCTTGTAAACCCACGGGGTGGGGGGAGGGGGGGGCGGGGGTGTCACTAGTTGACTCAGCCTTGACTCAATAGCAGCGAGTACTCACCTTGTCGACCCACTGACTTTTCAGTCGATGTTTTTATTGTATTAAAAACAAGGGAAGGGGGAGATTCTCCCAAATAGTCTGTGAAGCACACCCAAGAGTAAAGTAACTTTTCATATATGCTTCCAAAGCATTTTAAAGCAGCTTAGTCTGGGAACACTATCTTGTTAAGCCCATGGAGACCCTGCCTTCAATTCCATGTCACCATGAAGTTCATTTCCTTTTCCTGTTGATTAAAATGCATTCTTAAAGAAGTTTTGAAAATTGCCATGCAAAACATTGCTCCTTTAAAAACCGGAGAGAAAATCATTTATTTCAAAGGGATATTTAGGATAAAGATTTTATTAACTTGTTCATGAAAGCATTGCTGGTTGTTTTGAAGGTCTGCCCCAATTTTTACTGTTTCTGCACTGACAAAACCTTAGAATCCTTTGAATTTTTCAGAGGTCTCTGAGTCAGCTGCAGGGCCCCGTTGGACTGTCGCTCCCACTTCCACGAATAGAGGCAATTGTTAAAGGAGCCTTTCCTGATGGCTCCGAGCATGCCGCTGCTAGGTCATTGGTTCTGCTCCTTTAAGACACGTCTCTGATGCTGGCTACAGGGCACAGCTCCAATCCAATGCACCAGCTGTACCCCGGTTACATTTAGATAGTGCTCATTAATATTTTATTACCTATTGATAAATATTTAACACATTTCCTATTCTCTAATAAATTATGTTAAGACATAATAATAAAACGAACTGCAAAGGTAAAAAGCATAGACACTCCATGATATAAATAATATCTAAAAGGTTTACTAGAACCATTTTGTTTCATGCGTTAAAAGATAATTTACCCATACTTCTTCATCGACTGTGATACAGTCTGTGACACTAATGCCAAGCAATGCTATGGATTACATTCCCTTTAGTTAGTGTTCAGTCATCAAGGAGCTCTTTGTTTAATCACTAATTTTAAAAATTTATCGATATCCTCAATTATTTAAAAAATAAAATTACATGTCATTGTAATATGTACTATAATATCATCTTGATTTATTTGATTCCCTCTCTTTCTTTTTCAATTTTTTGATCCAAAATAATGCAGCATAAAAGTTACATGGAAAAAAAATCCACCTTAAGAGCTTGGAAATTAAACCCTTGGAATCATCATATAATGTACCAGAAATTACAAAGTGGCTTGTCCATTGTCAAAAAAAAAAAAAAGGTTGGTGAATCAGGAGGACAGGCCAATTTTTAAAAAGTTTACTTCTGGTCAAAGCTGCAAAACCAGGACATTGTGTCAAAGCCATGATATGGGAGATTCAAAGGAGATATAGCAGTTTTCAAAATCCTTCCAAGGGGCAGGGGCTGATGGAAGAGATTGGATTATTGCTAGGGACGTGGAGAACTACACACATTCAAAGTCGTACAGCTGGCCCCCATCTTTGAACAAGAACTTGCTCTTTTTCATACTTTGTCAGACAAGAGATTTGGTTTTTATGCAATACATCCTCTGTCCCCCACCCCTTTTTTTTGAAGCGAGAGATTAAGTTTCTCATAGTGTTGACATAATTTTTCCCATGCTGGTTATTTTTCCAAGACTCTACAAATTTGCAAATTTCAGTAAAATGGTTTTGATTCAATAGCCATGACTGCACCTAGAAGTATTATTTGAATCCCTGAAATAAACTAAAGTAGTAATTACTAGTGAACTGTCCTGTAGTCCAGAATCCAAAATTTTAACTTATTTCCTTAAAATTATATAGAGCACTAAGATAATTCTTATTCTTTCATCTTATTAAGAGGAAGAATTTAATGGCTGACTGGGTTACTGTATAGTTGGTTAACTTGTAGACCAACTATAATGTGGTGCTACATTATTATGGTAAGAAAACTTATGTAGAGAGTTATTGGAATGCTTAGTAAAGATAAAGAAACATGAAGAAACTGGTAAAAAGAAAAATTGGCACTGTTACAAGGAAATATTTTTTTAGTAAGTTAATGATATACCTTAAAATAATGACCCGGTGTGTAGAATGCAAATTTGTTGTACTGGTGTTTAATAGGGAGGTACTATTTTATTCTTAGCCTGTAATATTTCTAGTAAAACTTAATAGAAGTGTACTTTGAAGAACAATGGAGAAAGAAGACATAATACACTTACAAATAGAAACGATTCTATTTTTACTGAACTGTTTCTAGAGGAGTATGAACTTAAAAAAATAATACAGGTTGGTACCTTGGGGATGAAAAAACTACATAATTCACAGGCAATCATCCCACACGAAACTTTCCTCTACTTATACTCTACTATTGAACACGTAATAAAAAGTTAACATGTGTGTCACAGGGGACTGTCTTATGACTCTTCCATTCCTTTTCCTTTATTTAAATGTTTGTGAAGTCCTGATATTTTTACCTTGTGTTGTTGTCAGGCACACTGAATAGGTCCC